TGACAACAAGGGCTGGGGAGGATTAACGTATTAGTTTCATTGCAGTTTACATGTGGCCAAATTTTGCTAAGGGCTTAAGGTCATTGTAAGAATGGTAAATACATAATCATTATTTTAATAGGACTCATACGGCGAATGATTGACATATTTTCTCAACGTTTCATGATTTCAAGAGTACGAGATCTGTTTGTCTGCCTGTCGATTTTTTATTCGGTAGATTATCTCCGAAACTACAGGCCCGATTATTGTAAAATTTTATGTGTGTATGTTAGAAATATCGTGCAAATGGTAAGATGGTAAGACGCTAACCAAAATTTGTCTAACCATCCCCATCAACAATTTGATAACGTCATCTCAAAAGTTTGTTTAATAAATACCATTCAAATGTTATAAAATAACATAGACTTGTACCTGTGGCTTACGAATCTGCCTTGAGTTTTTTCCCTTGGTATCCAAATTGAATAACAACTTTTTGACTTTTGACACTAAAACGCAAGCGGACAGAACATTATTGACCGGAAAAAGCAATGTATAGCTGGTTGAATAGATTGGATACTGGGAACATTTAAACAATCGGAATTTAAAAGGTCAACCCCAGCGCACATGTTGTTTAACACTTTAAACATTAACCAAATTTTGACGGATTCACGTCTAATCTATATATATAAAAATGGATGTTGGTATATATATCTGTGATCGATAGACTCCGAAATCGTTTGACCGATCACCATGAAATTTGGCACATGTAAGTGGTTTTTCATGGAGAAGGTTTTTGTGGTATCCGCTTTGCTGTAACTAGCCACTAGATGGCGCTACAGCACATCAACTTCTACACCGTTCAACCGATTCTCATAAAAATTGGTACACGTCGGCATTTGACTATGGAGAATATTTTCGCCCTATCCATTTTGCTGTAACTCGCCACTAGATGGCGCTGCAACACATCAACTTCTGTACCAATCAACCGATCCTCATGAAAATTGATATACGTTGGTATTTGACCATGGAGAATATTTTCGCGCTATCGATTTTGCTGTAACTTGCCACTAGATGGCACTGCAGCACATCAACCTCTCTGTTAAAGGATTATGAACTTAGAGAATCAGCGGCACCCATATATCTAATACTACTATATTGCTATCAGGCCTTAAAAGAGTCCGAAAACACAACGGCAGAGCAATATATCCGACCTCTTTGTCTCTCTATAGTACCAAACAGTACTGCTCATATACTCGTACTTGCTTGATTTTTAGTCGATAACGTGACTAGATGTGTTTTGACATTTCATACGTTCGCTTCTATTTTGTGTACGTGCGCACAGACCCTCGGTACTTTTCTAGACAGAAAACAATATCTTCCGTCTCCCTTTGTCCGTGAACACCGTTTCTGTGTTACTTCTGAAGAGTTAGCAAGTATTAGATATATGGCGGTACCAATGACAGCATTGTTTTCGTTGGTATTACAACAAAAATCGTATTGACCGCAAAAGAAAATCATTAGTGATGTTCACTGTCTACAATCCTCAGTAATAACAAAGAGTGAATTACTAGAGATTATTGAAAATGCCACCCAAAAAATCAAACTGGGGCCCTACTCTTGACTTCGCTGAGTTTTCTCACTGGTGACAAAAGTCATGTGTTTAATTTCACTAATTTGATTAAGTGTCTACTCTTGACAACCTGTGAGATGATAAATCTCACCCAATGAGTTATTTCACCAAAATATGTGGCAACGCCGTGGGAATTAAAATGTATCGAACAAACGAGAAGCGAATAATTGACAAGTGACAAATTTTTTTGAAGTTCGAGCGCAAAAACTTTTAATTATTGAATACAATGAAAATAACGGAAATACAGAAAGACATCTTGGTCAAATTTGTGAAAAGTACTCAAGATTTGACGTCTGGGAAGTTTTCTCCAACTTTTACAACAAAAAAGACAGAAGAGTTGTGGATAACTGTTGGGCGTGCTTCGGCTTGTTCTTCTTGAGGCCCATGCACATAGTCATCAAATAATCCTTAAAATAAGTATTAAAATTTTCTGAATTGTTATCTAGACGATTTCAGTACTATCACGAATATTAATTTCTCCCAAATCTTCAGACGGAGGAATGTTATTTTGAATGCACAAATTGTGAAAAACCACACAAGCGTTTATAATTTTTCCGGCTACTTCTGGCATATAATGTAACACTCGATCTTTTAAACAACATCTGAATCATCCTTTCAATGAAGCATTGCATCGTTCTACAAAACTTCTTACTCTCTTATGTTGTACGTCAAAACGATACACAACGATGGGGGAGGTACACTGGCTATATGGGTACAGTCTATGCATCCTATTACTCCAGCAAATCCGAAATCGTTACAAAATCTATAAGAAAATCTTCTAGGTATAATTGAAGCTCTTGGAAGTTTCTGGGAAACTTAACCATTGCATTTAAAATATCTGGTCTATTCAATGCTTCTGTAACTTCTCGGACACTTCGGCTTAAACTTTGTTGGGAAATATCGATGATCGATGTAAGCATTGTATCCAACATCTGTCTGATACCAGCATAAAAACGCAAAGTTGCAAGAACCTAAAAATTTTAAGTAGAACCTGCATTCTTCTTAAATGTTTTTTTATAGAGTACCTAATATACTTAAATGAAGGCAGTTTTGTGACAGACATACTTAGATACCTGTGTATTTACAGCTAGATCTGTCGATCTTAGTTTTGGTCGCATATGTGGTTCCACAAAACTAACAATACTATAATTAAACAGTCTCTTATTAACCCTAAATAATTTGATAAATTGTTTTTCGGGCAATTCAGTTAAGGGATTGCCAGTTCATCGCGAAGCAGGTTCCAAATCCTCAACATCTTCGTTTAAAATATTTTGCATTACAAAATCATCCATTTTTTAAAAAATATTTAATCACCAAAAAAAAAAAAAACGAACCAAAATAGTAACAGCACACGTTAAAATATTTCAGAATGTAAAAAGCACACAAAAACATACAAATCCCTCCCAAAATGAGAAATCTCATCGAAAAAGTATCAACTGTTTAAAGTCACGCGTTTCCATGTGGATTTTCTCATCGCTGAGTTGAATCATTGTGTCAAGAGTAGACTTTTAAAAAATTTCACTAAAATTACGCCATTTTAGTGAAAAAAGTCACAAATGAGAAAACTCACTCGGTCAAGAGTAAGCTCCCTGATTCCGCGCATTCCAATGGTTCCTACTGATTTGCCCTTTACATTCAAACGACTACAGTTTCCTGTGCGTCTTGCTTTCGCGATGGTAATCAACAAAGCCCAAGGGCAGTCTCTGCGCGTTGCCGGATTAAATTTAGGAAATCCATGTTTTTCGCATGGTCAACTGTATGTTGCTTGCTCCAGAGTAGGAATTCCAAAAACTCTGTACGTCTATACACCAAATCGAAAAACCAAAAATATTGTTTACCCACTAGCGTTACGATAGATGTTAGTATTGATTAAAATGTGTTCAAGTTGTTTCAGTTATAGTGGACCAAAAGCTATAAGGTTATATGGCCATCATAAAATCATCCCATTGTGTCGAAGTTAAGTTGTTTACAATAGAAAAGGTTTTAGGGTCGTAAATAACGTGTCCAATGGAGCTCGACCGGCTGTTGTGGTTTCGTTCAGGGGCGACTTTCACTAAATATGTAAATCCACCACTCCCGAGGAGGGTAGAATAAGAACGGAGGGAGCATGTCGTATGCTTTCAATGGTACGGTTTTGGCCCAAAATCAACTACCGCAAACACCGTTTACGATCGATCTGTCGACTGTGCGCATGTGCGAGCTGGCTACAAACTCGAGAAAAGCCCATCGTACTCCATGGGCGTACCTCTCAGTTATTTTGTTCCATCACGTGCTGTGTATCTTTATACTTTGAGCCGTTTTGTTTTTAATAAATTCAACATGGTGAACTGCAATCTTTGTAAGTCGTGGAATGGTAGTAAACAATTTGTGAAAGACAGACTTAGTTTTCATAAGTAAGTAATAAATGTATAACTTGAGTAACTTTGCCCGCCACTGTTTAGCGATTCTCTCGAAACTGGGGGCGTGGTTTAGCCGAGCGCGTATTCCAAACACCGTCATAAACGGTGTCTAGATTTCGGACGGTCGGTGCCACATTTTTCGACCGTACTATCCCTCCGTTCTTATTCTACCCTCCTCGACCACTCCACTATTTCTTTACTACCTGCAGCCGCTGAGGGTTCCGAAATCACCACTCGTTTTGAAAGCCGGCCCTGTTAAATATGAACAAGAAATGTTGAGAAGACGATTTATTGCCAACCGGTAAGCTTAGTGCGAACCACACAAAGGGGGTACTTATTTGTGGTCAACTACTTTTATAATGATCATATAACCTTATACCTTTTGGACTAGCATATATAGCGAATAGAATAGTCAAAAATTTTGTTCATTCACGTGAATTACTAATACAAAAATGTGTACATTGTGTATACTAATGAAAATAAATGGAATAGCATCAATATGAGTTATCTTATTATTCAGTTTTCTACAACGCATTCTGCGCTCCAGACCATACATTTATATCCACATATATACAAAGTAAATATATACACAAGCAAGACAGCGTCTGCCGGGTTCCGCTAGTCTCCAATAAATCGCGTACAAGCATAGGAATGTAAAAAATTTATCATGTACGGCTTCTATTCGGTCTTTGTGTATCTGATAAATTGGCGACCAAACTGTGCACTCATATTCCAAGATAGAACAAATAAAAGATGAAAAGAAAACAGTACAATATTTTTGACAATACTACTTAATACTTATTGCCCCGGGAGACAATATACACCACGACGTGCAAACGTCAATCCTTATCATTATATGGTACATTTGAAAAAAGAAGCATGCTATCAGAGTTCTTAACGGAAAATTTCAAGGAGATCCAATACTCATTTCAAAATGTTCAATCATTGCCACTCTTACAATTTCAACTAAATAAATACAAAAAGATACTTGCCAAAAGCTTCTCCATGTTGAAAATCCCGCTGCCTGTAATGGTAAACTCACAGCTAATCCTTCGGGAAAATTTTGAATGCCTATTCCGATGGCAAGATTCCTGAAACAAATTGAAAATACATGAGATCAGTACAAGTTTAGTTATGTTCTTTAGAGAAACTAGTGTGAAAATTTAAATGATCTTATTCTTAAAAAATGTAGTGTTTAAGTTTTTATTTTTCAGGCTATAGTTTATTTAGGAAGGTTCTAGGCTTAAGATCAATTTATATAATGTTTAATTTCATGCTTTTGGCTTGGTCTGCAAAAAATGCTGCCATCCATTTTAGATAATAATTACCAAAACTGAAATGCCAACTATCACTTTAAAATGTGCACTGTATCACCTATGTATGTACCTCCATGTGTGATTTAATAATTTACTCTTATATTATGTATATGTTTGTCATAAAACAAATGGACTTTATAACTTTACAGTTTATGCTAGAGATTACATATTTATTCAAAATCCTCCAGGAAGTTAAAGACATAATCTCAGAAATTAGTGAAAAAACCTTATTGAAAAATATATCTCGAGATTCACTTTGGCCTCAGTGTTAGTAATGGCTCTTTCAATTTTTTGAAATTCAAAGAAAACAGTTACACTCTCATTACTATGTCGTACATTGTAAGCATTCAAAATAATACATTTATGGGTGTAGGGTAAAAAAAATCTTCTCAAACTTTAAATCGCTATAGATCAATTTAGCTGACTGGTTACGTTATGCTATTTTTTGACAATTATCAAACATTGTTATTGCTAGTTATTGGAAGTTTCAATATTTTCTATGATAATGGAACACTTAAATGAAAATGTTCACCGAAATGTGTTTGCCAAATTTTATATAGACCATTTGCACTTAAAACAGTCCTTCACAGTGAATCATTTTTTCTAAATGGGGATATCAAAAAGGCCAACTTATAGTATCGTAGAAGTCTAGAGAATGGCAATTCGATAGAAAGACAGACGGAGAGTGAAATGTCAGCAAAAAAAACAACCCAGAAGAAGAGAGAAGCCTTGATCAGTCAGAGCCAGGGTAAACTTGAAATTTCACCAAGAAAACTAGGACAGAAATTTACAATCCACAAAAAAGTACGTTAGTAACATACTAAGGGAGAAAAAACTCATACTTTCAAGGAGAAAAATCAGCTCCCAAATATTCAGAACAACAAAAAATTGCAACAAAAGCAAAAATGAAGAAATCTTTCTGAACCATTACACAGCCAACGTTATTGATGCATTTAAAGAATTAAACACTCAGTTTATTTCCAAAGACAAAAATGTTCCGAACGTTCGACAATTGTATCAATTGAACACTTTTGGAAAAATCCAAAGATGGATTTGTGTGAAATTGGGTGCGAAGCCTTCAAACAGACAGAATTAAGCGGTGTATTTGCTGAAAATCGGACAGACAAAAATATGGGTTTCACAAATTTAACGCCCCGTATCAAAAAAAAAAAAAAAATCGCGAAAAAAGGAGATATGGTGCAGATTGTGTTCTTTTAAGTTGATGTTATAAATGTTAACAATCACATTTTTAATTCGTCATTTAAAAAGAAAGTTATGCTAGTTTGAAACTACAACTTGTACAGATTTTTTGTCACCACACTCTTATATCCATCAAAAAGGTGACGACACAACTGTAAAGAAAATATGTCGTCGATAGTGGCCAATATACGCTTCTATGAGGATCTTGTTTCTTTTGTTATTATTAAGATACATTTTCAATCATATTTAAACAAGTTTTTTTATGTTTTGTCTCAACATTATTTTGTTGTATTATAGTATATTAAAATTTATGAGCGACGTCAACAATTTTCTTTAAGTATAAATAATACTTTCTTGTTATCTAGCTCATTTACTGGTATCATAAAAAAAGCAAACCAATGTTAAAATTTAGAACCTGTAGGAAGAATATCTGCGTGGGGCCCCTCAATGAGGAAGAACATTTCCCCCAGGAAGTTAATATTAAACTCTACATCCTTTATCTTTAAAGTACATATAGATGAATATTGCATAACTTTTGTAAATTCATTTATTATTACGGTAATAAAAAATGTGTTAATTAAGAAAAATGTTAGCGGCAGCATTTTTCATGATTCCAAATTACAGCGTTCACAATGATTTTAAATTGCTTATAATTAACGCGGCAAATCTTATCATTCACTGTTTCTCAATTACTTCATCAATTGACAGTTTTGGGAATCCAGTAAACACAGATATATAAATGTGTTAGTGACTGAAAAAAAATATGTATAAGTACGTAGTCAAAGTTCACATGATTTAAATGTTCACCATAAGTAACTGATAATAGTACTTGATTTTTTAATTTGCCCACTTTAAAATATGTATAATTGTTTACGAACAGTGCAATATTTACTTTATTCTATGTTAGTTCATCACTTCCATCATGGGTTTTAAACGCAGCTTGAAATACAATATGTATATGTATTTATTTACATTTTACTTCGACAATTTAACTGAAGTACATATGAAAAATGCCCTGCAATTTGTTTGCTCATTTTGATAACGGTCAAAAAAAATAATAAAAAAGCCTCCATAAGTCTAAATTTTAATTATTTTTGGTTACGCTGCGATGTTGTTACCTTTTTTCTTAAATTTTGAGAATCGGTCACAAAATCACAAAAATCCAGTTTTCTTAAAGTTAATATTGCCAATAGGTCTCAGAATAGACAATTCTCATCCTTTGTTAACATGTTAATTTTTTTTTCATAAAGTAATAAAAATCGATTGTGTGAAGAAAAATTGTAAAATTGTGTGGTAAACACGTGTTTTGTGATTTTGGTTAAGAAGCGGGATTCCTGGGACACTTTAATTGAATGTAATGACATTATTACGGCAATTTTAGTAACCTGGGAAATTATTCATTACACACCTAGGGCAGTAATGAAATGAACTGTTTTGAGTGCACTTGGTCACTGACCGCGACCCTTTAATAATTCAGCATGCATCAGCTTTCCTGTCGTAGATTCATATTTTTTCAACATCTTTGAATTCTTTGACAATTGGGCATGACGTGTAGTAAGAAAAAGTAATTTTTGAATTTTATTCATAAACTATTAATAACAATAATTGTATCAATCATTATAAGTAAAACAGAACCATGTTATAATTAATTAATGCGCAACTTCATGCGTTGTGTTTTTCAAATCAAGAGGCATTAAAGATTCAAACTCGAAATCACATTTTCTAATTGGGCTGCGCCCTTCAGTGAACTAACCATCTTGGCTGTAAAGAAACATTTTCCGCCTCGACGTGTAGTCTACTATTACGTGAAAAACTAATTTACATATACGATAATGCTTTTGCTTACACTATTATGTAAGGAAAACCAATATAAATCTGTATTCAAACCTCTTTATTATGGCAAAAACACCGCTGAAAAACTGAACATTAAATACAAACGCAAATGTATCACTTACACATCCGTGTGCATATTTTCACACACCATTCTTGGAGAACGTACATTCATATTGCCAAACCCAAATTCATTGGAGTGACAAAGCGTAAAGGTTTTATATACGGTAGTTTAAAAATATGTATATTCTAAGAAATTACGGTAAAAAGGATACACCACAGACAACTAAAAGTGATTCATCGACAGAATACAATATCAATACACCAAAGTCCAAACTGAAGGACGTTTATTAGAATTTATTATAATTTATTTAACAGGCGTTTAAACAATCTCAAACGTATTAAATTTTAGAAAAAATTTAAAAATGCATTCGTTGTGATGAAAATACAGAATAGCAATATTTAAGTAAATAATAAATAAAGCTGTAGACAGAACGATGAAGTTTTTAGTAACAACAAAAAACACAATAGATAAATGAAGAAAATAATAAAAACACGCGACTCCTGAAATATAATAAAATTAATAAGTGACACTTTTGAAACATTTGACTTTCTGTAAGTGCAACATTTAAGAAGTTAACCAATGTTAAGCTTAAATTGCCGTAGTTTTTTTAAATTTTATAATATTTATTATAATAATTATTATTATTTAAAAAGTAAAATTTATCAGATTTCGTTGATGTTCCACCTATGGTTTTAAACTTGTGTGTGTTTTGAATTAATATATTGCTATACAAGGTTATTCACGAGAACCTCCTCGCCTAAAAAATTCAAAACACAACCAATAATACAATTACGTAGCAGTCTTTGATATTTACTACAACTATTTTTTTAATGGTAAAACATAGCTGTTTAGTTTTGATAATTTGGAAATAAACGTCAATTGTTAGGTTAAAATAAAAAAACAAACAAATTCAAAACAAGAGCGGCATCTCCCGCACGGCAAGTACATAACCATGGAGCACTCACCATATGTCCAAATCATATCAGTCTTTTACACTCTGCAATAATTGTGACGAAATGTCAGTATTAACATGATAATATTTGACATCAAACAGATATTTTATATATATTTTTTTTAATGGCATGAAATATCAAAGATAGTTTTAAAGTTGTAATGTTGTATTTCTGGTTGCGTCTTGAATTTTCTGGGTGTCGAGCTTGTCGTCAATAAGTCTGTATTTGGTTCAAAATTTGTCAAAACATGGTACCAAAGTGATTCCCTTAAAGAGGAATGTTTCACTTTCTACTTCCGTGCAACAGATATAGGAAACATTGTTGTAGTTTTTTTTGATCAATGTTAATTTAATGCATTTTTTTGTACTTTCTTAGAACATCGAAATGAAAATGCAAAATTCTGACAAGATAGTAAAGTTATGTTTAGGAATACACATCAAAATCAGTATACTGATCTCCAGTAAACAGCTGACGATGTCATTTTAAGGATTAAGTAAAGTTTATGTTAAACATGCACTTTCTTTATGTATTAATTTTCTACGCATACTCTTTTTTTTTGATAAACCATTATAAGTAATACTACAAAATTTAATTTCATTGAAAATTATGGAGATACTTACACAACAGTGGTCTCAAGAAATACAGTAAAGTGATTTGATTAAAATGTATATAGATTACTTCCTTAAGCAAAATGATGAGATCACTTTATTAAAAAACATATTTAACTC